CAAAAAATAAAATTTGTCTTTATTCTTTGTTAATCATGTGTCATTACTATGTTATAAAGATGCATTCTATAACCTATAATATTGTAAATAATAGTGGTATACCTATTTCAGATGTAAAGTCTTGAAACAAACTATTTCGCAGACCTCCACATAACGCCAAGCCAGAACACAGAAATATCTTCAATATGGCATAATGATGGATCAAAATACCACATGTGTGAAAAAGTATATGTAGTCTGTTCCCTCTATAGCGTGGTAGCAATCCTCTGGGCAACTCATGTTGGTCTAAAAAGGTTACAAAACCCTTTGGATCGCCTATGAATAACATAAAGAAAGTCATTTTGGGAATTGCAAGGAGAATATGAATTAAAAACATGCAATAATTATAATATTTATATAGTTTTAACTGTAATTTTATTTACAAAACTACACTATATTAAAGTAAAAGAATGGTTTTAAAACTATATAGGTACCTTTAGCATCCTTGTAACGAAGTTTGTTCAGCTGTACAACAATGTTTGCTGCTATGCAGTCTCTTCCAAAAAGTTTCCCTTTTGAAGTCTCTAATGCTTTAAGTGAAGACTTGCAAGAGCTTGTCATTGTATCCAAGAGGTGAAGGTGACAGTTAAGCTCATTTAATGATTTCTGCCAAACTAGGTTTAACTTTGAGACTGTTGCATGGTTTGTTGCAACTCTATCACTCATGGTATTTGTTATGTTCCCGATAATAGTGCTTCTTACATCAGTGTATTTAAGCTTATAGAAGTCACTATATAACTTAGCAAGATTATCAACAGATTTTGTAATATGACTCTGATAGTCATAAGCTGTACCTCCAGGAAGTTGATCAATAGCTACAACCATACATACTGATTCGGTTGTTAAGTGCACAGCATTTACATGAACACCTTCCTGGGTTGTTGCATCAAAACCAAGTGTCAGATCTTTCGTTGTAAATGCTATCTCAGCAGTCTGTAAGTCTAAAAGAACACCAAGCTCACGCATCATTTGTTCTACAGTTGTCCGATGTGGAATTTGACTAAATTGATAGCCAGTATGTTCTCCAATTTTATGGAGCAGAGATGGCACACTATGTGTAGGAACTTGGCACACAAGCATGTCATATATAAGTGTTCTGATATCTGCTGAGTAGCATTTTTCATTTTTGGTGTTTTGTGTTACTTGCTGAATATCTTCTAACTTTTCCTGTAAAACCAGTATGTCATTTTGAAGTACAAGAATTGCAGAATTTTTGTCAGCAAGTTGTTGGGATAACATTGTCTTTTGATTAAAAAACTTGGTTTCGGTGAATGTTAACTGTTGTTTTAAATAAAAAATTTGATTTTGAAGTTTTTTTAACTGTATATTTAAAAAATTTTCTTTTAATTTTTTTCTAAGTTGATGAATTATCTTTTCCTTACGAGCAATAACTTGATTTAGATATTTTAATCTGTATGGTCTAGCCTTTGCCTTTTCTCTTAAACCTTTAAGATCTTCTTTATGTTTTCTCTTTTTAACTGCGATTTCGTTTTCCAAAATGGTTAATCTCTTTCTCATAATCTTTTTCCTGGGACTAACCTGGTCAGCTCTCAACCTGGATATTGATTCTTGAGAAGAGTCACTATTTGATAGAGACGAAACAGTGATTTGCTGAGAAAAAAATGAAGAACACGTAGCAATGTGATTAGAGGTTGTGATTAACTGTGATGTTTGAGTCACAGCAGATGTTGTTGGTTGGTATTCAAAGAACATGTTGCAGATGTCAATAAATTGTTTTGAATTTCGTGAAAAAGCTTTTACAAAGACTTTTGATTTTCTAACTAGTTGCAGAATCTGATTGGGAGAAATGTTGATGTTAAAATACTAACTGATTAGTTCTACAGTTACTTGGTATGAATCATTGTTAGTTGCCAATATATGCAGTACATGTCCATTTCTACAGCCCATATTTAAATGAGCTGGTATTGGAAAATTACAAACTAAATAAGATTTAGCTTTACCATAAAATAGATTTGTTTTCTTTTTAGGTCCCATGATGCACTAAATTAAATTCAACGATCATAACACTACTTTAATTGTAATTTAATCATTATTAATATTTAATTACTATTTAATTGGGTCAGCAATCAATCACAATTAACTAACTAATAAATTGCCTTTGATCAATAAAAAATTATAGATATATATAATTTTTATATATCATAAATAATGCTGGTTGGTGGTTATATGGTAAATTATGGGTACAGAAAAAAATTGAGAAAATGCTGTTTTTGTTTGTTATCATTATTTTGCATTTTATTCTGAATCACCATAAAAAAGTGTCATAATTTTTATTTCAGCATTTTAAATTAGATTTAACAGAATTTAGCCTTGAAACTAATTTTGGTGTGTGAAATCATCAATAGTGTTAGTAATATTATTACTAACAACAATAGTGTTAGTAATATTATTACTAACAACTTTTTTTTTTCAATAGCCATTTATTACTAATAAAAGGCTATTGAAAAAAAAATTGTATACCTTTTTATTGAAAACTATCTATATATCTCATTATTATGAATAAACAATCTAATATACCAAATGCTCACCATCAAATTACGCCCCCCCTCCCCGCCTAAACGGAAGTGGAAATACATACCTCCACTGTACAGAAAAATAGGGTGTCTGCGCATGAATATTTTTTAATGAAATTTGGCAGGCACATAGAAAATAGATTTATACTGCTTACTGGAAAATTTTAAAAGTGTAGCAACATGCCTTCAATATTAATGTACCTCCAGAACAGAAACGAAATTTGAAAATCTATTAAAAATCACTAGTAAATGTAAAAAAAACAACAGAATTTATATCAAGAAGTAACAGTAACATTAACAGAAACAGTTTAATAAAGTGTAACAGTAACAGTAGTTGTAAAAAAGGTGGAAAATGTACCTCCACTAGGTGGCAAAATAGGGTGTCTGCGCATGAATATTTTTTAATGAAATTTGGCAGGAACATAGAAAATAGATTTACACAGCTGACTGGAAAATTTTAAATGTGTAGCAACATGCCTTCAATATCAATGCACTTCCAGAGCACGAACAAAATTTTAAAGAGCAATAAAATCACTGAAAAACTTAATACTTTTGGAAAAAAAACATAATTTATACAACCTAAAACATTCTACTTTTCAAAAAATGTCTAAGCTGGTATAAAATTCTAAAAAAAAAGACTAATAAATACATCCTTACCACACCGACTTCGAGCACGCTGTGAAAAAAACGGTCACAGTTTTTTACTTACAAATCGGTGCCGTAAATAGCCAGATACGCACGTACCTAAATATACCAATCAGTTATGGGCTTCAGAACCAAATATACAATAAATATATATTAATTAACAACCAAAATGCTGTTTTATAGCTAAGTTACTTAGTAAGTGGTAAATACCGTACGTAAATAAATAAGTAAATCAAAATAGTAGAGACATTATAAACAAAAAATCTAATTGCAAAAATCCTTTAGATTCGCGCCATTTTGTAAACATAACGGTTAAACATAACGCTTTACAAATATCATACAAATAGTTTTGGGCATAAAGCTTTAAACTTAACATAACGCTAACATAACGGTGAACATAACGCCAAAATTTTCAATTACCGTTATGTAACCGTTATTTTAGCGTTATGTTTTTTGCTGTGTACAGATGCTTCAAGATTCAAGGATTTAATGAAAATTTACCAATTGTTACTAATATTGTTTCATGGCCAAGCACAAGTAGAGCGTGGATTTAGTATAAACGACCGACTTCTGGATAATAATATCCTAACTGATACTCTTGTTGCACAGAGAATTGTACATGACCACATGTGTAGTGAAAATATAAAATCATCCCTATTGGCTATGACAACTAAACCTATGGGACATGTTAAGGATGCACGAAAACTATACTTTAGCAGTCAGAAAGAGAAGTTCTTGAATGCTTTAAAAACTGACCGTGATACTAAACTGAAAAATTTTAATAAAGAGATTACAAGTTTTATTTTAATAAAGAGATTACTTCGTTAGGGTTATCGAAATACAGAAAGGTTCAACAAAGAGTTATTTAATTTTTTTATATTTAACTGAACAAAACAAAATTAAAAAAAAAACTTTTTTTAAATTAGAGGTGGGTTTGGTGGTACAGGCAAGATCGTATTCTTATTAATTGCAATACAAACAATGGTGTGGAAAGCCAGAGTAGTCTTTAGTCTTTCAAATTTACTTATTTATAGCTACATAAAAGCTCATTATTGACTGGAATGTTAACTTTGCTTATTGACGACTTCTTCTTCGATAAAGTTGACAGATATCATTTTTTTAAAGTTTCGTTACGTCTGTATCAATTTTTAAAAGTAATACACACCTAAATAAAAACAACAAACACTTTCTCTGGTTTGTTTTTCAGTAGAAAAGTCTTTATTAGTTAAAAAAAAAACAAGTTCAGAAAACCTAGGCATGTGATCAGCAGGTTTATATATTTAATAATAATTCATAGTAAACATTGTTCACGTAACTAATATAAAAATTTTTTCCTTATCATTACATTTTGCATTTTAAAGATATCGTGTCTATGGTACTACATACCAAATCACTTTAGCATTTGTACATTTACACAATACTGGGTTTTTTCTTATACTTTATTAAAGAAGCTTTGTTACTATGAATATTATTTCGTTTAGCTATATTAATTCCAACTTTAAAATGGATGTACGTTACAGAAGGTATGCACTTTGGGTGCCAAGTTATCTTTACAACCGTCCTCATAGCTTTGTTAAACATTGCTAACAAAAAAAAGTAACATTGAGAATCTTGATTTGTCTAGAGTAATCATGATTAAACATGGAGTTTTTGCTGTATTAAGTTCTACCAAGACAGCTTCTAAATATTTTGTATTCTTTGGTGATGAGATTACAATGCCAAAATGTACTTGTTTAAATTGGATATTAAATGCATATTCATGCAAAAAATTTTTTTTTAGTATTTAGAAAGTACCCTGCTTGGTCATGGAGTGCTTTGTCATCATTATATCTAAATTCACCATTCTTAAACTTAGATACTGACGATTATGAAGCATCACACGAAAAACCACCGTTTAGTAGGCCGGAAAGTTCAATTCTATCTAAAAAAGAATGAGATGTCATTAAAGATTGGAATGAGAAATCTAAAAAAATTACAAGTGTTTGCTCTAAAGTAAATATTAGGGAAATCCTTACAACAATATATGTGAAAATTGCTATCATCGCGCTTGTAAACTTATCCCTGATTATGTTTTGGAAGACGAATGTGCAGAATGGTCATGTTCAAAATGCAGCTCTATGTTATTATGCAGTTCTTATGCATGCTTAAGTTATAAAACGTTTTTATTATTTTAGTTATTATTTAGTTTCGTAAAAATCCTAATTTAAAAAATTATTTTTTAATAATACAAACAAATCATTATACTGACTCCATATTTGTAGATGTATTTTATTTATCCTTTTTTTTTTGTCCGCGTTAAAAAGAAAGTTGAATATAATTCAACAACAACAGTTTAATACTTTATTAATTTTTTCTTAGAGAAGAAAGCTTAAATAAGCTTTGTTAAAATATAACCGAATGCATAACACCTTCGCTTTTCAGAAATATAAAATAAGAATGTGAAAAAGAGAAAGGTTATTGTACTTATTACTTCATACCTCAAAAATATTATCTAATCAATATTTATGTAACTAGTAGTATATATAAAAAGAGATTATTTAATAACTATTTATATAACTAGTAGCATTGTATAGTATTTATAAAACTTCAATATAGATAATTATATAAGATGTAAAATATTCATAACAAAAAAAATTAAAATCATTTTTTCTTTTGCATTTTATTAATGTTCAAAAGTTCTAAAAAGATCCTGTTTTAAATAAGAAACAGTTTATTATTTTATAATATTTCTTGTAAACAAAGTGAATTTTTCTTATATAGCGCTAAAATAAATTGACTTCAAAATATACGCAACTTTCTTATTGCGCTTCATTTTCAAACAATTAATTTACGCATAAATTATATTAAGTTAGCAGTTGGACTTTGATCGCCTTTTGAGTGATACTTTTATCTGCTAACCGTAAGAGTAATGGTTAATTGATATATTTCCGGCTTTATCCCCCCTCTTTTTTCAGTCAAAAAATAACTAACTTCAAGTTGCTGTAAATCTTAAAGGATTGAGAATTTTTTGAAAAAATTTTACAGTCTTTCTCAACTTATATCTTTAAAAATTTATGCCAAATTTCAGCAAATTTGGTGATGCAGGGTGCAACTCCTTGTTTTTTGAGAAATTTTTACCCTTTAGTCAATTTAGATTATAAAAAATAATATAGAGAGGTGAGGGCGGGGAGGAAAATTAATGACAGTTAAAGTATTTTCCTCTAGACTTAAAATTTAGGATCTGCTTTTCTGATACAATTTAGGATCTGATTTTCTGATATTACTTTTTTACTTTTTTAGTTATAAAATTAATATTACAATTTTGAAGTGAAAAAAAAACTCGTAATAAATTCTAGAGTCTAGAATAGGCAGTATCTAACGTTATCGTTATCTAACGTTAATGCAATAAATGTAACAAAGTGTTTAAAGAAAATTGAAAATTTTCAGAATATTACTTTAAAAATAACAGCAGTTGTTTGATATCTTCAAATTTAACAACAATAACAATAAATGGATAGAAATTTAAAAGTTTGTGTAGCTACTGGCAGGGTCGGCCCAAGTTGGTGTCATGTTTGTGTGTGGGAAAGAGGTGGGCTCTACTAGTTTTGACTGTTACAGACTGCCAACTATAAAAAAATCCTCTAATTCCTTTACATGTTGCCTTGAGATAAACGGTCTAAGTTCCATTTTGTCAACTGAATCTAAAGAAAGATTCTAATTTGCCGACTAATGATACTAAAAGGAACTCAATTCGCTGACTAATTTTTGTAAAAATTCATTGCAGCTTCCTCCCTTCGTTTTGGTATTAGTCTCGAAATTTAAAGTATTGGTTTTGCTATTGAGCCCGAATGCAGGGCCGCCAAGAGCTGTCTCGGCGCCTGGGACAGTAATCCTGATTGGCGCCCTTATTTAGCAAATTTTCCTTATCTTATATATGAAGGGCTTTTTTATTTCCTTATTTATAAACATTTTATAATGCTTTTGCTTTTACAAATTTTACAAGTTTAATAAATAGAATTTAAATGAAATTTAAGAACGAAAGTAGCTAAGAGAAGACAGAAGTCTTGTCAAAACTTGATGACAAAGCTTGATGACAAAACTTTAGTAAGCGTAAAGTTTTTTTACAAATTTCTCATTATACAATTTACAAATACTCATTATATAAAACAAATCTTAAGGCTATATTTAAGATATTTCTAAGATATAGTTGTTCAGCTATATCTTAGATATATCTTAGTTATCATAACTATATCATAACAAACATAGGAAAGTTCTGGTAATAAAGATTTATGATATATAAAATAAGTATCATTTTTGTTATCATATACATAGGTACGTGAGTATCGCGTTTTACGGAACCGAATTTTGTGCTAAAATTTAGTTAATACATAGTTTCAATAAAGTATGATAAATTGCAACAATAAAATAAATAGATAAAGTAAGAAATATTACAATTTTTTTTTTTTTTTTTTTGAACTTAAAAATACAAAAATATGTTTGAGATAATACCTTTTATATTTTCAAAACTATGATCTATAGACGAGGTCCTCTATAAGAAATTGTGTTATCGGATTTTAGAAACATGTCATTTTGATATTGTTTTAAATCATATAACATGAATAACTAGTTTTAGAATAGTTTTAGCTCATAGACATTAGGATCTTTAATTTCCCTTAAAGAAAAATATGTATTTGTATAATACGCCCACTCCAAACCCTTTATAAAGGGTTTGGAGTGGGCGTATTATGCAAATACATATTTTTCAACGCTAAAGGGCAAGTACTTGCCTAAGAATTATTACAATACCTAGTGTAGCTATGGATAAAAGAGTAATATAAATTTACTAAACTTTTTTTACTTAGTAGATGTTGTGTTTTACGCATAATGCCTGTAGTTTTAGAAATTTTGTTTTTAATTAGCGTATTATGATTTTTCCAATTTAGATCAAATATTATTCCTGAGACTTTAAGTGATGAAACTTTGTTTACTTTGTTATTTATAGTTAGCTGAGAAAGTTGCAGAGACAAATCATGATGAAGACTGGTGATGAAATAACAAATACTATTACTGATATTCAAAGAGATTTTTTTTAATTTGAACTAATCATTAAAGTTTTCCAGCTCTCGATTTATTTTCTCCCAAAAATTTACCGCTCTGGGTGACATTAAACTTAGCGGCGCCACTGCTTTTTAATAATTCTATTAATGATCTTTTGATTGAATACAGAGAGAATATACGCAAAAGATATCCAATGCCAATATTAAATTCGGTAACAGATGAAATGTATATTTTTTAAATATTTAGTTGGAAAATCACAAATTTTAATCAGATGGGGGACTGTACTGACACAGAGTATTTCTAACCTTTTGGAGTAACTGATGCTATTTTTCTCTACTATTTTCAATTTTGATTGGTGAAAAAAAGTTCTTTATATTAATTAATCCTGTTTATTTTTGCATTTTTTGGATGGCGCAGATGCTGATACAAAGATGATTGGTTAAAACATTAAAAAAAAAAAATATTTGTAACCAATCAAGATTGTAGAAATAAGAGAACGATTGCAAAATGAATGATTGGAAATTTAATGACAAAGTTTGTAGTTCACTAACTAATTAACAAAAAGATTGCTATTGCTCTTTTTGTTGATTTTTGTGAAAAAATTTTATTGATCACAATTTTTATAATTAACAAATAATCAAAAAGTATAAAAAAAAAAAAAATAAAAAAAAAAAACCTATGAAAAAAAACAGTGCAGCTAGACGTTTAGCCTTGAGCCACAATGTGCGACTACGCAATTATGTTCTGAGACGTCGACAGGAACCCTTGAAAAAGCTTTTATTTCTTATAACAATTGTATATTCTTTTTTTTTAAACAGCCTGACACAATAGAACATTGTAAAACTTTACCGTGAAATTAACGGTACTATACCTTGAATTACACGGTATTGCACCGTTAATGCGTTTAACGGTACAATACCGTTAATATACGGTATTATATATTTGTAGCTGGAGAAAGACCTTCAACAACACATTGTTGTGCAACTATAAGCATTATTATGAATGATATTCTTGCTGTTTGCTTACGCCATTAAAAAATATTTAGATGTAATTGCATCTTCTATGGTTGCCAAATATTCTTAATTGTTTATAGATGAATATGGTCCCACAGTAATTGGTAGGGGTTATAAACCATGTGCCACTGTTACTGGGTGTTTTAAATTTGGAATCCCAAGAGGGATCCCAATTATTAGTTGATGTCATAAAAAAAACTGATAGATATGGTTACTTAAACGACAAATAACTGATAGTTATGGTAACTTAATGATAAATAAATAGATATTTCATTTTTATAGAAATTCAATTTGATTTTGTAGAAGTTTATTTTATTTAGTTTTAGTATATCTACGTACTTAAATTGATTTTTTATATTTAGGTTGATGATTTGCTACATCGCTTTGATGTTTTGATGTGTGGAGTGAATGCTGGTGAACTCTTGATAAAAGCATTAGATGATGAAAAGTTAATGGTATGTTGAATTATAAGTTCGTATATGTTTTAAGTTTTCGAAAATCAAAAATTTGAAACATATTTTGTAAAAAAAGGATGAATTCTATCATTTTTCTTTATATATACTTAAGTGGATTTTTTTAGGTCAACTTGCATACTTTTTTTTAAGAAATTTGCTATTTACAGCAAATCGATTCATGCTGGTAATTGATTGCATTGTTGTGGTTGTAAAATGACCAATTTTGTCAAGTCATTTTGTTGTTTGTTTTCAAGTTTTTATATTTTCAATATACCATATCCAAAAAAGCGGTTTATTATGTTTATGTTATGTTGAATTAAATTTATTTAACTTTTTTAAAGTTTATATTGTATTTGATTTTAATGGTATTTTTTATTTGTTGATGAGAATGTTTTCAAACGTTAATTGCTTATACATATATTATTGACCATTCTAGTACATTTTTCGGCATTAATACTGAAAAAGGGAGCAAATCAAGGCAAACGAAGAAGACTTCATTAATAAGCTAAATTTTGCTGTCAATACTGCGAGATTTAATAATAATTGAATTTACCACGTAGTTAAACTTCTAAACATAACTTTGAAAAAATAATTTATTTTGTATTTATTTATATTTATTTATAAATTTTCAAATGTTTTACAATAATATCTTTTTTTTTTTTTTGAATTTGAGTTTGATTCGTTCTTAAACTCGAATATAAATATTTATATAACGTCATATTAATATGTCACATAATTTAAGTTTGCGTTTTTTTGTAACCTATTTACATTCCTTTAATTTATCTG